GGTGGCCCAGGAGGCAGGCTGGGCTGGGAACGCGCCCCAGCCATGGCCCAGTCGCACCCTCCCTTCAGCAGCCCAGGCAGAGACAGGCTGGTGACACTGACATCAAGCTCTCCAGCAGAAGATGCAGTAGGGTTACAATAGCCCTTGGTCTGAGTGGCTTTAAAGACTCCTGCTGTAAAGCTTATTACCTGCTGCAGCTTTGTTTTGGGGTAAAAAAAAAAAGAACCGAAGTGGCACAGCCAAAAGTACGAAGTCATCATTAATCAGTTCAGGACACTGTGATTTTTGCAAGACAATATCTTTTGTGACAGGTAAGATCTGCAGCTGCTGCTAGGCCAACAACATAAGTGTCTCCAAGTCCACATTCTGAGCTGGATGGAGGAACGCGCACAGCTTAAAGAGCCCAGCAGAGCTGTGCTAACGCTGGCGCATTCACAGGTGACTGCTCTGCAGGAACCATTACTGCTGCTGACCATGGGAAGAGATGCAGATATATGCACAGACCAGGTACCTGCAACCTTTTGTAACACTGTCAGTACCCAGGGTCCAAGCAAGTGCCTTGCACAGAGAAGTCACATGGGTGCACACGTAATCACCAGGCTCCTGTTGAGGAGGGTGCCATTTCTGCAAGGTAGTAGTAGATTTGCACCTGTGATGCAAGCAACAACTTCTATGGCAATAACTCACTTAAAGACATCGTTGGTAGCAGTATATGAAAACAGTAATTCTAAGTTTAGAAAGTGTCCTTTAAAGATCAGGTATTCTTAATGAAGAATTCAGAGTTACACCCAAACCCACTCATATATGCATATGCACTTTAAAAGAGTCTGCTTGCCTCCTTCTGAGTCTAATGCACAAGACCAAACCAGATTCTTTCATCAGGTTCACTTAGCAGCATATCAGGGCTTTTTTTTGTTTTGTATTTGTTTGGGTTTTTTATTCCCCACCCTCCATAAAGGCAGAAACAAAGCCCATGGGAACTCTGGGAGAATTGCCTATACATTAGCTTCCCCCCCCACCTTTTATTAGTGATTGAAGAAGTCTAACATACAATGCTGAGGTGACACACTGTGTTTCAAATCTAAGTAAGTCAAGCTCATGAAAAACCTAGCCGTGAAAATCTGACCTCTCCTGCACCATCATAAGAGCTGGAGAAGGTCAGAGTGAGTCGATACAGTTATTCAGCCACACTGGCTCCTGGGACATTCCAGTTAATGAAATGGCTCAATCGAAGTTTTTCTGAAAAGCTGGAAAACAGGACTACTGTTCTCCCTCTCCACCCACTATCGCCCCAAGCCCCACCCTGCACAACCATCTTTAGAGAGAATATTACTGTAAGTAATGATTTAAGAAGTAAAAGGACAATAGATTCCAAGACAAGGCCTTCATTTTCACGCTCTAGAACATGCAACAGCTTCAAAGCATTTCCTACACTCTATACTAATGCCACCTGAACATACTTACAGTTAATTTACTTGCAGTTAAGTAGTGCTACTACAGTCCTTAAATATTTCTCCAAAAGGCAGAAGATAGTTTAGCTCAGGTAAACAGGGTAGAACAAATCAGATTGCTGCAAGGGATACCTAAAGAGAAGCAGCAGTTCCTGTGTTCTACAGTAACAGAAGGCTGCTATGCACAGCAGAGTTGTTTTCAAACCGCCATCTTCAAAAGGGAATCTCTCAGGGTTTAGACCCATGTTTTTGCCATTATACATTTCTGATTAAGTACGCTTACCATATCAGTCCCCTTTTAAGAGAGCAGCTGACACAGTTCAATTTGATGTATTGAAATCACTTTATTGAACTTCAGATATAAATCCTCTTTAAAAGCCTACTCTGTGTATTGATTACAGTACTAGGTTATGTAGAATGTAATAGGTTATGAAGAGGTTTGCAGAGCAGTGGCTCATGCTTGGCGAGAAGCCTGTGTGGCCCGCTTGTATTCTTATCCCCCTGACAGGGACAGTAACAGCCAGAAAGAGAACAAGTATTTACAAGTATCCCTCAGAAAGAATGAAGTATACAGTTAGAAATTCACAAAATATGTACAGTTTTGAACTGTTCAAGTATGTTTCAGCTGGACAAAGTGCTGCAGGTCACAAAAAACACAGTAAAAAACAAGAGAAACTATTAAGACAAAGAGGTGGCAGACATTTGTGTGCCAAATGACTTGTAGGTGGTTGTAGTATATGCAAGATCTAGAAGTTGAAAGTATCTGGAGTATTGCCCTGAATGTGGAAAGTGTAGCTGGCAGCAGTAGATTCTGGCACAACATTTTGGTCTTCTTCCTCCTAGAAGAGAAAGAAAAGAGTTTTGAAAGGGCAGCAGCATTTCAGCCTAGTAGTCAGTGCTGGAATAGAAAAATATAAGTGGAAAAAAAAAATCGTCCTGCAGCCACTTACTTCTGCCGAGAAGTATTTCTCAATCAGGGTGGATGAGGCTTTGTACACTTGTTCGTTTTCATGTGACTGAAGAGCTTCAATTTTGTCTAGACCCCCGCACTCCTCAATCATGAGACACAGTTTTTCAGTCTCATTAATCTTCTCAGCAGCCTGCAAGAGACAAGCACAGAATGAATAACCTCAGGAAAGATGCATGGCAGTAACTGCTGGAGAACTGTCAGCAACACCTTGGACAATGATTGAGTATACTGCATCCACATACCAAGAAGATATTAGAAACAGCATCCAGAATAACTAGCACAGTTTTGCTGTCTTTAGCCGAGAGGAGATTCAGTAGGGGTTCAACAACACCCGCCTGAACGAGATACACGATCTGGTCAATTGTTCCACCACTTGTGTAGTTAGTCACAGCCCACACAGCTTCCTTTTGAGATTTGAAATCCCCCTATGAAGGTAAAAGCAGAGTATTGGAACACAGATGGCAGCAGTATCAACAAAAGCCTCAACGTAGTAAATACAGTTTTTGTTTACCTTCCTCAGAATACCAATGAGATAAGGTACCAGACCATGGTCTACAACTTGCTGAATCTGGTCCTGTCGCCCAGCAGTGATGTTGGACATTGTCCATGCTGCTTCTTTCTGAATGTTGTTTTTGTGATGAGAAAGGAGACTTGGGAAGACGGATAGTGCTCCCGACTCGATAACAATCTGCGTCTGCTCATCAGTACCAGTGACAATATTTCCTATGGCTCTTAATGAAGGAGTCTGAAACAAATAGGAAAACAGTACTTAGGAAAATCGGTATTGTCTAATCTGTGCTTGAACAAGTAGAGCCATACTTGATGCCCCTCCGCTCTAGCCTTCTCAGTTAACAGCATGAGATGCTATGTACTGATGAGCTTTAAGCTCCTCATTAGCATTACCTATGAAGACATTAAGCATGCTAACACTGCACACCTTCCAAGGCCAATACGCAAACAACTACCTGTGACAGGGCTTAGGAAAACTATCCCCTAAGTACTACAGCAGTTCTATTATACTATAATTATAGTCTGCACAAAGCCCACTTCTAAACGCTGTCCCTAGAATGTGGATTCACAACAGTAGTTCAGAGTTAAAAGCAAGCTTTAAAGGATGTTGACTCTTGTGCTGGCCTATGTGCTAAATCCAGTAACGATGTAAAGAGGTTTTATAGTCATCAACAGCAATAGTCTGTGCCTCATGTGGGCCAGCCTCCAAGCAAGATATGAGCTCAAGTCTTACCTACAGAAAACGTGGAACAAGAATCAGATTTGTGTATGAAAAGAACCATCCAGTTACATGGACTCCACTCTAACTGCAGTTTTATTCACGACTCAAATCAAGCAACAGCAATCTGCATGTCTGATAGCTTACCATTATTGGCAGTTCACTACATCCCAGGAGTTTCACAAGTTGTGGCACCAATCCAGTTTTCACTACAACTTCTATCCTGTCATTGGAACCATCTGTTAGATAGGAGAGTGCCCAGCATGTGTCTGCTAACACCTCACGATCGTCATGATGTAGGAGGCGAACGAGAGTTGGAAGAATCTGCTCAATAGCTCCTATGGGCGGTGCAGGATTCTTATTACGACATAGGTTTGAGAGGGTCCAGGTAACATTGCGTAAATATCCAGACTGCAAGAGCAGAAATAAATGGTTAGCAACTGTTTAGTTACTTGAGCTCTTTTGCTCACTAGTTAGTAATTGTAACTTGAATCATACTGCACACTTACAGCCAGAGAAGAGAGATCAGGAACTGCTAGTAGACTCAGCAGTGGCTCAATTGCACCAAATTTAATAACCAGGTCTCTATAGGTAGAGCCATCCCCTGAGAGAACAAGAAAAACAGCCAGGTGAAGACCAGAATAGAGGCACCTGTGCCTACAGCATCATTATGCATTAGATGAATTCTTCTACTGCTTAAGAAGATTTAGATAAAATAAAAAGAAATAAGAGAACAAAAGGACTACTTCGATGGTTAAGTCATATGAGAAGCACGTGTTTTTCTAACCAAGCCACTGAGCTTAGTTTTTTTCTGTTGGAAAAAGAGGTAATTTGGGGTATATTTTCTGTACAGCTTTTCACAGAGTTCATAACTAAGCAGGACTTGCATGCTTCACATCTTTCTTTGAAAACATATCTAAGCCCTACCACTAGAACAGAGCTCTCCCCATAACATGGGACTTCAGATGCATTATAATCATGAGTTGCATGATGGAGCTCTACAGTATAACACTGAAGGAATGTCAGGGTTTCTTGAATGAATTGTTCTATTGCAAGATACAAGAAGTACCTTGTATTTGAATTTACAAAGCTAAAAGGACAAACTTTATGAAAATTCCAGTCAAACAAGGCTCATTTTCACTGCATGAAGATTCACTGTTCTCTGTAAGGCACGGCTGTTGGAAACAATAATACAGCAAATACAAAATCATAACTATATTATTAATTTCAGCCGGTTTTTTCTTCTAAATGGGATCCAACACTGGCAGATCAAGTAATCCTGAAAGCTGCATGAGAAGTTTCAGTATACAATACTTTCACATCAGTAAGTAGCAGTTTCAAAGCAAGGAATATTGGCCATCACGTACAGAATTCTGTGAGCCATCTGTTTCCTCCCTTCCCCCTTCTAGTCAACACACAGATCAGAGCTCCTTGATAAGTCACAAAGCCATCATGCGATATATGAAAAAGCCCCATGTTGTAGCATAGTTATATAGTTCTATCAAAACTGAACCAAAACATAGAAGCAAGCCATGTAACGCAACTCACAGGTTGCCAGGTATTGCGTGAGACATCTTATACCATGTCTGAAGATAAGGCATGGTCTACAGCATACCCTATGTTGCAGAGCATGTCTTTACTTGACAAGCATTCAGGCAGAGATCCCAAGCAGCATGACATGTCAGTAGTAATGTCCTCCTATTTTAAATAAGGGAGCAAGTCTGAAATAGAGTTGTGTAGCATAATGACATACCTGCAATGTTTCCTAATGCCCACACAGCCTGTTCACTGATGTGAGTATGGGGAGAGGCCAGCAGTGAAATAAAGGCTGGAATAGCCCCTCCATCTACTACAGCCCTTGTTTGTTCTGATGTGCCAGAAGCAATGTTGGTAAGCGCCCAGGCAGACTCAAACTGAATAGGACTACAGTCTGCTCTACCCAAGAAGGAGACAAACTTTGGAATCAAACCAGCACGAATTATGTTGTCTATGGGGGGCTGCTTCTCTCTTGAGAGGAGTTTCCTAAGGAAGACGACAGAAAGCATTATTTTTGTCTGCAAAGATCTGAACACAGATTAAAGAGTCTAAAATGATCCATATTTAAAGAAGTTCAGCTTTGCCTTAACATTCAAAGAAGGCAATGCAACAAGACATGAAGGAGAAATACAGACAAGCTGAACACTAGCTTCCTAAACCTCTGTTAGCATTGGTTTTGGCATGTCTTCACTGCAGGAGAGGTTCTGTTCAGAGTCTGAAATAAAGCAGACTTGCAAGAGTAACAATACATCTGAATTGCTAGAGGTTTCTCACCAGACAGGTTAATGACTGCCAGAAGCAGCACTACAGCAACATACAAGCTTGCTAAAGGAGATTTTAGATTTGGAAGGAGGGAGGAAGTCTGGCATACTTCAAACCCTAGCCATCTTACTGTTCACATTATTCTAAAGTAGTTCACTGCACTCAAATATTGTAGTCAAGCATTAACACCACTTAACCATATCTTATTTCACTATAATAAAGGGCTTATTAATTGTTACTCCTACAACTCTTAAGTTGGACTACTGTTTATTTTGCCACCTCAAAACCACTAGAAAGAATTACTACTTCCTAGTAAAATGTTCAGGCACTTGAAACATTCAAAAGTCACGTGGTTTCAATTAAATTATGACTAAGTTAAGCGTACCTAAACATTACATATAAGGCTGACTTGAGTGTTTGTTGAAATACTGTTTGATAAAAAGAGCCATAGCTGCTGCCACAAGCAGACACTCAGCTCAAAAGCCAATTCTTTTACCTTGCCTAATTACTGGCTTGCACACCTGAATTGGATCCCTTGACTCCTTACCTGGCAGCTTGAGTAGCCTGTAGCTGAAGCTCCATATTATTACTATTAACTCCTCTGACTATTTCTTCAACTGACCAGTGTGCTGAAACCTGTACAATAAGAAGTTATGTGAATGCTTTATTGGGAGAGGGACATATCTTCATGACCACAGATGCCTTCTATACAATACTATGAACAGGCTCCAATTTACAACCACTTCCTTTATTAAAAGGTTATACCGCTATGTGATACTCCAAAATCTCACCAGCTACAGCTTTATCTACAGTTATCTGAACTACCAAGAGCTTTTTTAATTAAGTGCTTCACACTACTGTTACACTGATACAGTAGGCTTAAACGCAACTGGTTAAGTCACATTTTAAGAGTGTTGTCCATTACAGCTGGTAGCATAGACTTAAGCTGGTAACATACACGTAGTAGCGCTGTGTCACACACAAAAAGGGATTCATACCAATGTGGCTGCATGAGCTTATACTGCAAGACCTCCAAGCGTGCCCAGTTTGAGTACGCTCTTACCTGATTGCTCCTGTTTTCCTGAAGCGGAGAAGTCGCATCATCTGGTAGAGTGCTAACATTTCTTCTTTTAAGCATCTGGTCATCTTTCTTAGCTTTCCTCAGCTCTACATTGACTTCAATACGCCGCCTTCTCATTTCCTGAAGGATATACATTCATAGTAAGCTCTTGGCTTTTACAATTCATGTTTGAAGAAATGATAGCTAGCCACAACACCAACTGCATCAAAACACTCACTGTAGTATCCTTTCCTTTGTTCTTGAATCTGTTCAAGCGAGCTGCTGCTACATTGGCATTCTCATTAGTAGACATCTTGCTTGTTAGATTTTGAGAGAAGTAGATACAAAGTAAGCCTGAAAAGGAGCAAATAATAAACAGTAAGTTTACTCCACAGAAGTTAAAAAAGGAGATCAATACTTGAGCATGAGACACTTGTCCACGTTAGATACAGTAACAGCCTCTGACTTGATCCAAGATACTGCTAACATAACTGCTGTCTCTTTAAACGCCGAGCTGTTGCAGCGAGCTCTAGCACTAACACAAAAGCAGTAGACACACGCGCATCGTTTTATGACGCTTTCAGACACAAACCTCGTCAGAGTCACTGCTCTGTAAGCGCAGGATTGCCTTCCTTCCCCCAGGCAGCACGCGTCTATCTTTAAACGCCACTCCCGCTGTGCCATACGCCGATATCGCGCAGGCAACCCACCCAGCCCCATCTCGACCCCCTTTGCCGGGAACAGCGAGACCCCGCTCTGCGAAGGCCCCGGGGGTCGCTGTGCCTGAGCAGCACGCAGGGCAGCAGCCACCCCGGCAAG